TTTTTGAAGCTATTCACTGTATTAAAATGCAAGCTCTTATGATTTATACAAGTAAGTGCAATATTACGTTATGATGTTTTATTCATATTACGTTTAATTAATATGTTTTATTCATAACACAGCTGTTAGTTGGACCCCCTGTGCCTAGACCTAGCCTTCTATTTTTATTTATATTTTTTTAATATTCAGCGCTTTTTCACATGAAAAGACTGGGACTAGGTAATTTGGGGGCGGGGCGGAGGAAGGACACAAGCCTGACGCAAGCGAAAATATAGAAGGCCTAGTCAGTGCTCTCACTTTTAAGGAATTATCCTTAAAAATAGGAATTTTGAAGAGTTTTAAGGATTTTTTTAAGGAATTTAGGTTTTTGAGGATTTTTTTAAGGAATTTCCGAAACATTTTATCTTGGACTAAAAACGTTGGACGGTGGATAACCACGCCACGCAAATGAGATTTAAACTTGAAAGTAGCAACATTATATGCGCAAATTACATGTATTCGTATGTTCTTTATGTCATGTAAATGTACATCTGGCTGTCTTTTCATCAGGAGCGAAACTAGCACCTTTTAATTCGGGGGGGTGTCTGCCAGAATTGCCCTGCCAAAACCGATGATTCCCTGCAGCAAATTTTTATTTCTGGCCACTATTTTTCTCAAAAATGTTGGCGAGGGGGGTTTGAAAAAATTTTTCCGGACATAAACCAGTAAAATTAAGGATCAAAAAAACTTTTTCGTACAAATTCCTGTTAAAGCATGGGTGGATCCCTAGCCTGCGAACAGGCTCTCAAGCTAAATTCTGAATTCAGCTTGAGAGCCTGTTCGCAGGCTAGTGGATCCCTTATTTTTGGACCAATATCTGTAAAATTTAGGTCTTTAAATTCTACTCAATTCCCTCTCTGAAAGCCCTGTGAGTTATTTAATAACTCCACATTCTATCATTTAAAATCTTTGGTTGCCCTGCCAATCCAGATAATTCGTATTTTGGGTGGTGTTACACCCCCCATACCCCCCCCCTCAAGTTTCGCCCCTGCTTTCATTAAAATTCTCAAAAGTTAAATGTCAGTATATATTGTTTCTTCTGAAATCTACAGATTTTCTAAGCTATTCATGCAGCAACGATGAAAAATACATCATGTTAAATGTTTTCTTTATGGCATTGTGCTAACAATCAAATGTTTTCAGTTTTTAGTGCTCAGAAACAAGGTTGAAAAACTGAAAAACAGCAAAAAAGGAAAAAAAACACTTTTTGCAACTATGTGATCAGGCTTTGTAGTAATTTTTACCAAATACCAATTTAAGGAATTTTAAGGAAATCTGAGGAATTTTCGAGCTTTTTCTAAGGAATTCGAAAATTTGATTGTGAGAGCACTGGCACACTGGGCCTAGTGGATTTCCCAACAACAAGGCCAAAACTGCCCTGAAACTGCCCTGATTGCGAAATGCCCAATTGTTGCGTTCTCAAACAGAATTATTTGCAACTTAACAGCGAATTTAAACCGATACAGGTAAAATAAACTCATTTATAGTATAAACTTACTATTTTTATTTGTTTACACGTCTAGAAAATCGGGTTTTTATCATAAAGTTTGAAGCAACACTATTATTATGTTGACAAGGTGAAGCGAAAGCACAAAATAATGATTCTTTTATTCGCAAGACAATCTACTGTTTTGCTTTGAATAACTATATTTGCGAATTGGGAATGAGGAATTTGAAATTAGTGTTCAAAATACAGATATACCATTTGTATAAACAATGTACGTTTTTATATACAGTACTGTACTGTACGGGCTAATAATATATGTATCCGTTTTATTTTGTATATTTTACAAACACAAGACTGCTTCTTGCCAAAACTGAGAAAATATATATTAATGTACTTGTATATAAGACAAAATTTCATGAAAGATTCTACTTTTGGTATATATTTTGACTCATTTTGTTCTTTCGCTACACCTTGTCAACATATTAAATAATAGTGTTGCTTCGAACTTTATGATAAAAAACCGATTTTCTAGACGTGTATACAAATAAAAATAGTAAGTTTATACTATAAATGAGTTTATTTTACCTGTATCGGTTTAAATTCGCCGTTAAGTTGCAAATAATTCTGTTTGAGAACGCAATAATTGGGCATTTCGCAACCAGGGCAGTTTCAGGGCAGTTTTGGCCTTGTTGTTGGGAAATCAACTAGGCCTTCTAGGCTTGGTTCCTCCGCCCCGCCCCCAAATCACCTAGTCCCAGTCTTTTGATGTGAAAAACCGCTGAATACTAAAAAATATAAATAAGACTAGAAGGCCTAGGTCTAGGCTGGGAATTTTATACATATTTATGATATTCATTGCATTCTAAAACGCAATTTATTTTCTTAGAAAAAACGTCATCTTCATGGCTGTTTTATATGAAAAATTACTGAAAGTGACATTAAGTATTACGGCAATGCAAATCAGTTTTCTTTTGTTCTTTTGCCAGAAATGTACAAAATTGTCACTTCCGGTAACTTTATTAAACAGCCAAAAAGACAATGAAGATGAAGTTCTGCCCTTTTATAAAATAAAATATATTGCATTTCGTCCTAGAATGTACTGAATATATTAAACAAAAATGTAAAATTCTTATTAAATATCATGATGACTATATTAAACCTTACAATGTTCTCAAATGACAAATGATTAACAACATAACAACCAGTGCCCTTCAGGGCTCATTGCGACTTATAAACTATCATTAAAACCCTCTTCTGCATCAATATTATCAACATCAATGCTTAATAGTTCATCATCATCATCTTCTTCTTCTTCTTGTTCATCATTGTCCATCATCTTCCTCCTGTCCATCATCTTCCTCCTGTCCATCATCTTCCTCCTGTCCATCATCTTCCTCCTGTCCATCATCTTCCTCCTGTCCATCATCTTCCTCCTGTCCATCATCTCCCTCCAGTCCATCATCTTCCTCCTGTCCATCATCTTCCTCCTGTCCGTCATCTCCCTCCTGTCCATCGTCTTCCTCCTGTCCATAATCACTATCAGAATCACTAGTAGAGGCGGAGTCCAGCAGTAGTTCTGATGTCTCCTCTTGTTCCTGCTTCTCATCAAAAGGTACATCTTCTGAGGGGTAAAGGTAAGAGAAAACTTTGTCTGCCACATTTTTCCTTAAATGTGACAGTAGTCTGCTGCCAGCAGCATTACTGAAATGGTCACCATTTATCAAACTTGCAATGCACCTTGCTTCTCTGCATTCAAATGTTCCGAGAGTTTCTACATCTATATACATTTTGGGTACGGGAATAGAAGGTGGATATTGTAGAAAATGTGGAAGTTCCTGGTCTATAGGATTTACAACACATTTCTTATAAATCCTGGCCATATTTTTATCAAAGCGTTGTTGCTTTCTTTTGTTTGCCTTTTTTAATGTTTTTTTTCTTTTTTTTAGCCTGTGAAATAAAGATATAATGAATGCCTTTAAATATTCGTCACTGAGCTTATTCTCCAATGTCCCCTTATTTTTATTCACAGTAGTTTTTAAGTTTTCCAGGCTTTGGATCTGACTTGTGTTGAAAGCATGTTGGAACTCGTTTCCTTCTCCGTATCATGGTTTTTTACTTGTTCTAATTTTTCTTCCACTTTTTTGAGCAACCGAGTGTGTTCTTCTATGGCGTGGTTTAAAATCCTACCGTCTTTTGGTTTCACTGAGTAATTTTCATCTGTGTAAATGCGATATCTTTCAGACAAACTAGGCACCTTCACATTCATTAGGTTTTCTGTTGCTTCACAGATATCAAATTGTCTCGATCGCTCTGCGGTAAATTGTTTCCGAAAATCTTCATCACTTTCTCCTCCAATTGACCATTTGCGTAATAGACTAAATTTTGAACTAAACAAGTCTAGACAAAAATTTCATCACAGCTTGAAGGAGCATCACAAAATTAGTAATATTCCAAAGTTTCGTTGCAAAATGTTGTAAAATGCGGAAAATATAGCCTTGTGAAATTTGCAATTTTCAGTCATTTTAGATTACAAACGGGAAATTGACAGCCTCGAAGGTTGCCCTTCTTATCTTGTGGGTCTTTAAATTACCCTACACAACAAAGTGTAAAAAGTGTGCCAATTAAATTGCTTGATAAATATGGCATTGACTCACTCCAATATATTGGCACGAAGTCACCAACCTTTGAATGAAATCGTGTACTGCACGATTCGCAGTAGTTAAGTTCACATTCACAACAGTAAAGGCTCGAGTCTTCCTTGTCACACTGCTCGCACACCCTGTCCAGAAAATCATTCATTCATCATTCAACATGAATATTTATAAAGGGTTATTTATATTCAACATCAAAAATGCATATTTAAATTCTGTTGAAACAATTAACTTTTCTATATTATAAAACAATTTATTTTATATATTCGAGCGAATTGTACCTTGAAGTTCCTTCCATTGATGACGGAGTATGAAAAGATATTGAATAATACTTGAATAATACTAAAAAACCACAGGGTAAAAATGTAAAAATTGTTTTAATGTATGTCGCTCTAATATAAAGTATATAAAGGCAAAGTAACTGATCTACACCGCTGACCATATGCTTTACACACAATATGGCGGACGAAAAAGATGAAAATTTCAGTGATCAAAATGTATCACCAAAGCCCACTGAGATACAACGGAATGTTTATAGTACAGCATGGCAAGAACGGAGAGCGAAGATTCGCAGCACTAGCAAGATCAGTGAAAAAATACGAGTTTCAATGCAAAAACTTGAGTTACAAGACGTAAATCAAAAGCTTGAAGGGCTTCTTAATGTCAGTACAGCTGTTTCGAAAAGGGCTATTTATGCAGGGTTACTTTATGTTCTCCATGAGTTAACTTCAACTGACCAAATATCAGGAAAGTTAAAAGTATTTTGCCGTTCCAAGAAGGATACGAGCTTTATTCTAGTGCTTTTGGACCTGAAATTTTAACTCCGGATCCCCGAAACTTCAGAGATAATCTGTTGTCAGATGACATTGGATTACCGGTTGTAGTATTTATGGTTAAAAATGTAAATTATGTAGCCCTTGACCCAGGATGCAATGTGGTGCGCTTTCTAGATCTATTCATAAATTACGAAGCAGAAGAGCTGGTAACCAGGTTTGATTTGGATGCAATATCACTGAAAACAATTATAGATTCTATGGAAACCGAATATGATAGGTCTGTAGTCCGTGCTATTATTGCTACAATGTGTACCCGAAGTGAAATTTACAATTTGGGTATCAAGCCTCAAGTTGCCATAGCATCCTTGCAAAGAATTTTAACTGTATCCAGCGATGTTCAGAATGCATTAACTGCTGGGACGGACATGGCTGTACTGTCTTTGCAAGAAAAAATTAGTAAAAAGGAAAGAGAAATTGAGTATTTAAAGGAGTCTTATGATGCATTAAGCAAAATGCGGTCAGACAGTAGACATCTGGACAGCATTTCAGAGAAAATAACCTGCCTCGTCCCCAGTCGCTTGCTATCAAACAATTAATTAGGAAAAGACGAAAGTAATTTTTCGTCTTCCCATTTTCCTTTGCGCGCTCGTCCTTAGTTGCGGGCGTGCGCCTAAAGGCGTGCGTCTTTATCGGGCTTGCAGTGCACGCGCTGATCTATATATTACAGATATTTAAATTTGATCTATATAGAGGAGCCTGCGGAGGAGGCAGGAAAATAACAACATGTAATGAAAGTTTGACATCTCTTCAGCAAGTCTTGAACCGCGGCGATTCTTATTCAAGGCAGAAATTTAATGCAGCAGCAAGAAAAAAATCTCAGAATTTGATAGAACAAAATAGACTAAGAAATAGAGCTTCAGGAGCTGGTGCTAAAAGAAAGCTTGATGATATTGATGAAGAATTAATTGCAAAAGCTATTGAGCAGAAAACAACTGCACATGGTAGAAGGCACGACATGGTGCTCTATTATCACAAGCGACTGAAAAGGGATGATTTATTGAGTATTGCCAATTATCATCTTTTAGAGCGTGGAAAAGAAATGATCAAATCTGCAACAACCGTATACAACAGGGGAAAGACAAAAAAACAGAGGTCATTGCAATCAAAAAACCATATAGGTAATCTAACTAAATAGACACCTTAAACCGCATATGACACGAATTTTTCATCCATCATTGTAATCATGCTTTCATTAATATTGAAATGATAGTTAACCTAAACACTCTTTTAAATTCTCTATATCTCTTCTCATCCGATTTTTTATTTGAATGAAATATTTACAGGAAAAGGTCTATTCTGCTCGAAAAAACCTCCCAAAACTGGTGACAGTGACAATGTTCTCACTCATCATCAAAGAAAACACGTAGAGCTGTTGAAAGTGCACCTTTTTGCTGCTTGTGAAGATCATAAATGGGCAATAGAAGTCAGTGCAGATGACAAAGCCTATATTCGCCCTGAAACATCAGGTTAAAATTGGATATTATTTTTTTCTTTATAAAAAGCTACTTGCTATATTGAAACCCTTTTGTTCTTTTTTTATCTTAATATAGTTGGAATGGATGGAACTAAACATCAGTCGTTACTGCAACCAACTGAGGAAAGTGGTTTAACAATACGTGCTCTTCCCAGTCACGATTTTGGTGATCCACGTTTGTATGTTACACCATCTGCCTATCGTTTTATGTCCCACGAAGTTAAGCAGATGGATGGTAAGTTTGATATTACTACTTATAAAGTTCTTTTTATTTGCATTTGTGTGATAGTTTATTTGATATAAAAGTACCATGTGATAATAATTCTATTTTTTACAGGTATCCAGAGAGTGGTATTGAAGGATGATAGCTCTGTTGTTACTGTTCGACCCAAACAGTATGTGGGAAGCAGTGGTAGCGTCTGGGCATCGGAGCATGTGTATTTACGATGGAAGCATCCACAATTATATGAAGTTCATGGACAAACTTCAAATCCTGCTTTGAGGACATTCTCAGCAATGGCAAGGGACAACTTATTCTATTTTTTAGACACAACAGAAAAGGGGGATGTGCAGTGTGTAGCAGAGGATCCATTGTGTAAGTTCCGTTCTTATGAGAAATGCCGTATAGAACATGTGTTAAGCAGTTTGATAGATGCCCTGAGCTTATGGAAAATATCAAAGGATAAGGTCGAAGCAAGCGAAATTGCACTTGGCAATGAAATTGTCGACTCGCTATTGGAAGCAACTAAAGAGCTACAGGACTTAAGAGATATTTTGGTATCTACAACCACAACAACTGGAGAAGACTTGTGGTCTTCATACGAAATTTGCATAACGAAAATCAAAAATGTTATTATTGACATGAAATTGCATTGTCTTCCTGGTCCTCATCGTCCAAGGCTTCTCGTGCAAACAGACAAAGGTCCTGGCGTATCAATAACCAATTTTGAAGTAAAGTTTCGTGATGCTGAACTGGCAAGGCTTTTTAATTTGGACTGGCAGATGAGGATTCATCTGGCCGTTAATGACCCTTGTCCTGCTGAAAGAACTAACGCGTGTATAGGTGAGGTTCCCAGCAGATTTTTTAATTTACACTGAACATGAACACATAATTCATATATCACGAACATTTTGTTTTTCGCAGGCGATGCAGTATCAGATGGCGGTCCCCTTCCATATAACAGATTCCAACCTCATGAAGATATCAGTGAAAGTTATATGAGGAAAGTATGAAAATTATTGTAATTTGAATGGTCATCTTTATGCTCATGCACTGTGAACTAAATTTTGTCTCTGAAAGTAACTTTTCTATTTTATACTATAAAGCTGTTGCGGTAGATCGATAAATATGGGGCTTTTTAAAATATCGAATATTCGATATTGCATGTAGAAAATATCGCGGAATAGGGATTTACGCTTCATAAAAGTGTCAAAGAGTGCTTTTTTCTTTTGTACAGTACGTTGGGTTTTTGTATTATAAATATGTCGTGACGTTTTGTTGAATATTTGGTTCAATATTTCTTGAATTTATAGATTGGATAAAATATCAACATTATCGGTATTTTTTCGATGACCATATTCGGTATTTTCTTAATTAATACTGCAACACCCTATTTATATTTCCCAATGTTAAGATGTCGTCAGAAGAGTTTCAAGTTCGTGAAGAACAAGCAGCGGAGAAGAACGCCTGGCACTGCTGTCAGGACATTTGTGATAGGGTTGACGAGTCTCCAGGACCCCATGGATACATGGCAGCTCATGTGACACCTAGACCAGGTCAGTTGTTATATTTCAACCCAAGTTCATGTGATATATACTGTATACAATTTATATTTGTATATATTAAGTTGTGAATTTCTGATACAAGAACTGGCAGGGTTATTTATTTTTAATAGCTACGATATCAATTTCGTTTAGAATCCCAATTCTTCTACAACGCTTATTATCTACAGCAATTCCATACTGCAGGGACAAAAGTTGAAGCTATACCTGGTCATTGTTATTTTAGAAAGGTTGAAAGGTTTCTTGAAACTCATTATGAAGAAGGTAACAATTATAGAGAATTTTTAAAATGTTCCAATGATTGCTTATCTTGTGATGGTTGGGTAGGACCTACCTTAACGAAATGCCCAAGACCGTACCCAGATAATTCAGCTCTACCAGAGTACCATTACTTGGCCTATGATAAAACGCCACTGGGAGAAAGAGATATAGACGACTGGCAGCCAAGAGCAGATTATCAAACAGTTTGCAGAAAAGAAGTTAGCTTCTTCAGATCCAGAGAGTGTTTCCGCGTTTGCGGATAAGTATATTGTGAAACCAAAGCTAGTGTTAGAATATGTTAAACATCTGGAAGTTAAAGAATGGGAAAAAGAGAAAAAGAGAAACGAAACAGCAGAAAACGTTAAAAGAGCAAAAGAGAAGATGTATTCTGACTACGCATGGGACAACCTGGTTAAAGATGACAAAGAACTGAAAAGGCTTCGCGTTTGTGAATTGAACAAGTACCTTGTGCACAATGGTCTACAGAAGTACTTGAAAAAACGCAAAACTGATAAAATCCACATTCTCCAGCAGCACTGGTTTTCAAAACATGCGGAGATGGAGGAAGAAAGTGACATCGATGCACATGCAGAAGAGAAGGAATATGATATTAGACGGGAAGGAGAGTGTGATGAAGAGCATGATAATGGTGATGATGATAATGATGGTGATGACGATGGTAATGATGACGATCGTAATGATGATGGTAATGATGGTGATGATGATGATGATGATGATGATGATGATGATGATGATGATGATGATGATGACAAGCAAGAGGAAGGAGATGACAGAGAGGATATATTTAGAGATAGCGATGAGGAGGAGAGCGTGGATATTGAGCACGACATTGTGCTTGCAGTGATTGCTGAGGAAGATGGTTGGGAAACCAGAGAAGCTGTGTCACGCTCTGGAAGAAAAGTTCATAAAAGGAATGATACAAACTTCTTGTACTTTTAAAATATTCCCTAATTTTCTTTCAATTATACTTTCACTTTCGTTCATAATATAATTTTATTATGGTTTTATTTTCAACTCGATAAATTCATTGGATTATACGAAAGGTTATTTCTTTTACAACTAATTTGGGCAGTTTTACTGCCCATCTTCAATCTTCATGCTAGTAATAATTACAAAAATATTTATACAATTGCTAAAATAATTATTAAAGTAATTGTAGGCATTAATGTATTTATTTTCAGCCTAAAACGTCGCAAAAGTAACAGAAACCTTTCGGAGGTCACGCATGTAGGGGGTCATGGGAAAAAAACTCGGAGTAGAAAGGGGGCTACTGGAAATTTCCCTGCATATGCTGGGGGGTCAAGACGAAATTATCAATGAAAGCACCCAAAACCACCAGCCCCCCCCCCTCCTGATAAAAAATGAACGGTCCCTAAGTTGGATGATCAAGATTCCTTGAATCCTTGTTCTGGTCACGTGGATTTTCCCAGATTTGTGGAAAGGCCTCTGATTGGACAGTGCTTTATTATTTATTTATTTTATTTTATTTTATTGAATTTGTCACCATACAAAAAAAAAGTACATTAACGAAGATAACTATGTGACAGGAGAACGGAACAGGACTTTCGTCCCACTTGAAACCTAACCCCCTTACAATATACACAATATACTATTTGTCTTTACTCAACAATATATACATTATACTTTTGTATCCATTTATATACATATACACAATTACACATATTTGGAAACGACTAACATCACAAAAAGAAGTTCAGGAATGACTATAATTAGCCGGAACAACCAGGAGGACTGTATGTTGATAACTTTGTAATGTACAAGTTAATTAGGATAGACTTGAATGCAGGTAACGAGTGGACGGAGTGGTAGACTTTAAGGTATGAGGGCAGACTGTTCCATAGTTCGGCTGATCTAAGGCCAAATAAAAAAAAATACTTGGTTAGCGTCACCGCCCGCCTCTCGATTTTCTGCCGCCTCTGAATTTTTTTTTTTTTTTTTTTATGTAAATCTCTTCGTTTTACAGCTTAAAACAGTTTAATATTTGAAATTTTTCTCATGTTCAGACCTTCGCGCTATATACTGATCGATAGGAGTGCGTGGGCTTGGGTATACAAGGTTCTTTTAGCAAAATGTCGGCCTTCGCAACATCATTACAAAAAATTTCACCGATATGGTGGAAAAGCCGCCCCCATCTCCCAAAAAAATACTATTAAAAATTAAAAAACGAGTAAAAATTAAAAAATAAAAACCGCCCGCCCGCCTCTGAAAATTTGTGAGAGTGTGACGCTAACCAAGTATTTTTTTTTATTTGGCCTAATAAAAAACGATTTTCTGTAAAAATCTTGTTTATGTTTAATGATTAGATTGTAGTTGTTAATATCATAATTCCGAGATCTATATTTTGGCTCGCAAGTACAAAGGAAATCATTGACATCAGTGAAAATCAGTCCTGCTCTGGATTTAAAAAGAAGCATCAAATCGGCAATTTCTCTACGAAATTCAAGTGGAAGAAGTTTGGTTCTGGCAAATCTCTGTGTATACGACATATCCGGAGGATAGTTCAGTATAAATTTAGTGGCCCGCCGCTGGACGTTTTCAATTAAGGAACGATACTTAACTGTATACGGTGACCACAAACTACTGGCGTACTCAAGTTTAGGCCGCACAAGAGCACAGTACAACAATTTCTGACTCTCGGATCAGGGAGTTCTTTACATACCCTTTTAACCAGACCGAGCGTTTTATTAGCCTTGGCCACAATACTTTCAATATGCCTTGACCAGGGGCGTAGGAAGCGGGGGGGGGGGCACGGGGGGCACGTGCCCCCCAAATTTTTTTAGAGGACTGAAAGTGCCCTTTTTTGTGATAAAAAGTGCCCTTTTTGTGTTGAAAAGTGCCCTTTTTTGTGAGGAAAAGTGCCCCTTTTGTAGAAGCTAATGTCGCTGTAAATACTAAATTAAAACAATAGGTGCCGTTTTTGTGTGGAAATTTACAATTTTTTTTTAAAAATTAGGTCACAAACATAAATTTCGGTATGATACGACGGAAAATTTTCCTCAGGAGTAATAGTTAAACATTATATCAACATGTTATAACTCTCAATATAATGTTGAAAATATCAAAATAAAGTTCAAACTCAAAAAAAAAAAATAATAAATAAAACGAAAGTTTAAAGCATATACTTCAAAAATGCAAAATACGTTTCGAACCTCAAAGGATATACATGAAAACTAAACGCAAGTCCT